TTGTCATCCAGTCTAACCAAGTCCCTGGTCATCGAGTCCAGTCCAACTCAGACATTGTCATCCAGTCTAACCAAGTCCCTGGTCATCGAGTCCAGTCCAACTCAGACATTGTCATCCAGTCTAACCAAGTCCCTGGTCATCGAGCCCAGTCCAACTCAGACCTTGAGTGGGAAGCTGAGAAGCGGCTCCACGCCAAGCTCAAGTCACGTGTCAGGTGTGTGTGAATGCATGTTGGTCCACTGGTTCAGTGTGTTTACTAGCTATTTCAGGCTAAGTGGTCAAACTAGTAATAGACAGCCTTGACGTTCCTACAGCAAGTGGAAACTACTGTGTGGCGATGTGTCTGGAGAGGTATTTTAAAATTTTGTGAATCGTTTTCATCTAAAATTAGGTATTGTCATTTAAAACACACAATCTCTTCATAGCTTTGAGCTGTACTTATAGAAGGCCCCAGTCTTATGGTATTTCCAACTAGAGTCGCCTGAACTAAGTACACGGATCGAAATCTCACTTCCGAAGAGACCAGCACCCTAGTTGGACGGCTGACGGAGACAGTAACTCCTTCAGATGCAGGAGGCGTCTCTAGTCGTAGCTCCTTCCCACAGGGGACGGAGTGGTGGCCGACTGGGCGCAAGCCATAGGCACACACACAGACATTACGTGCATCAGTGTTCAATTTGGGGAGTCAGTCCACTGAGTAGCTCATAAGGCGTTGAAGCACAACTCAGTGGGCAGACTGAGCCTTGAAAAAGAGAAACCATTCAGAATGCCAATGTTGGCTTTTGCTAATTTCCACACGGAGCATTTGCAGCCCTGCATTTAAGGAATGTTTGTGAGAACATTCTGTTTTAGAGGACATCACCTATTGGCCACGTGCGGCATTGCACTTTGCCTGGGTTAGCTGGGGAAGCTGCCTCAAGAGGAGGTGAAGCAGATCAGGTCTCCGTGGATTGGAAGGGGTGGGCGGTGGTGGTGATATGCCAGGCGTCCTAGACAACCTGTGGGCCTGAAAGTTCAAAAGGACCCGCCGCCTCCCCTTCCTCTATTACTGTGGCATGCCTTTCTGAACAGAACCCGAGATCCGTGTGTGGAATACATTGTACAGGTGTGGATTTCGGTGGTTGCTGAAATCGACTCCTTATGAGATTTACCCTGACACATTTAGATAGAGTTTGGATTCAGTACATCAACTTTGATCAAAGAGGTAAGTTTTCAACTCTCGTGAATAGGAAATTAACAGTGAAAATGCTGTACTCGTGTGCAAGCTGCCTTCTGTAGGCAGTCATTAGGAACACCCGAGGGGGCACTGCAGGGCCCTAGATCAGGGAAGGTGTACATCGGGGGAGTAACTTTTCACTGTGCTTCTAGCCATCTGGATGCTGAGCAAATAATCTGAGAAAGTGGCCTTTATGAGTAAGAAGATGGTATCAAGATTGGAGGAAAATTCTTTTACAGCCTATGATATACAGATGTTAACACTTTGCTTGCTGAAAGCAAAGGGAATTCAGAGCAGTTACTGATGCGGGTTGGAGCCTGCAGGCTTCAGTGTGGATTAGACCTCCATTTCAAGAAAAACAAAAGGCCTCACAAGTGGACCACCGAGCAACATCAGGGGAGAAAAGATGAAAGTGATCGAGGATTTCATTTTACTTCAATCAACGCCATGGAAGGAGCTAGTCAAGAAACCAAATGCTGAATTGCATTGGCAAATCTGCTACAAATGTCTTTTTAAAACTATTCAGAAGTAAGGATGCTCCTTTGAGGACCAAGGTCTTCAGGACTCACCGTGGTATTTTCAGGGACCTCATATGCATGTGCAAACTGGGCAGTGAGTAAGGAAGACTCAAGAAGAATTTGTTTGAATTGCGGTGTTGGTGAATGATATTGAATCTGTACCACGGACTACCCACAGAATGGGCACCATACTACTCTGCTGAGCACAGGGTCACTATGAGTCAGAACCAAGTCAGTGGGACCTAACAACAACATGGGTGACAGCATCAGGAACGCATCGGTTCAATTAAAAATGCGTGTGTTTTCCCGAGCAACATTGGGACAGAAATAAAGTTGGAAGAGCAGGTTCTTTGCCCAAGCACTTTGGGTTTTGGTAATATTGTTAAAGAAGATGTTGTGCGACTCTCACTGAAGAAAGTTCATTCTCTTTCAGCGACACAAATGCATCTGATGATCTGGCTTAGCTTATTTTTATATTTTACAGAACCTTAGAGATAGAGACCTTCCCTCCCTCCCTTCCTTCCTCTTTCTTAAAAAAAAAAAAACCAAGAGTAGTAATCCTGATAAAACCAAGAATGAAAGCTTATTTAGGGCTTTGAGAGCCAACTCTTCTCCTTGCCTTTTAGCCCTTTGCCCGTAGAGTAAGCATCCATTTCTGGCGTCTTCTTTTGAAGCCCCTCACTGTCACCATCATTTGACTTTGCTGAATTAGCTCCTTGTCGATGAAGAAGGCCCAAGAACTAGGAAATACACATGCGTGTTAGGGTCGAAGTACACTAGGGTCGTCCTGAAGGAAATGAAGTAGGGGTTAGAAACTATATATCCTTATGTGCCGTTGCGCACAGCTTTCATTAGGAGCCTCCGTGGTCTTGCGGGCTAGGGGTTGGGTCACTAGCTACAAGGTTGGCAGTTCCAACTCACCAGCTAATCTGAGGGAGAACGAGGACGCTGTCTTCTCCTGTAAAGATTAATAGCTTGGAAACCCTGTATAGGGTCACACACAGAGCTGGAATCGGCTGGAGGGCTGTGGATTTATTTGGTAGCAAGAACACAGTGGTCCAGAAGCAGGGGTCCCACACCGCTTGAAGCAGGTTGCTTTAAAGTAGCATTGTTCTGAAACTCATGTCAGCGTTATTCTTGCATACGACATTTTGCAGTGTAGGAATCCTACATTCCTTTTCCCTGATTTTCACATCCTCACTGTTATCAAGGATCCCTCTAGGCACAGTGGGTTAAGCACTGGGTTGCTAACCCAAAAGTTCCCAGTTCAAGCCCACCAGTTGTTCGGTGGGAGAAGGGGATGGCAGTCTGCTTCTCTAAAGATTTACAGCCTTGGGAACACCCTGGAGCAGTTCGACTCTGTCCCATAGGGTCACTGGTGTGCGAATCACTAGACCCTTGTGCCTATATCTGTGCCACCACCCATTTCTTGTCTTACTTTAACATGGTGTCTGAATTACTGTGTGAATTCTTACATAGGCTTAAAGACCTCTTTGCTCTTAACCCTTCCCCACCCCACCTTGAGCTTCTTCATTTTTATTGTTTATTAATTTGCATAACAATAAATTCAATCGGCTAAGAAAATGATCTCCAGCCTTATTATCCACTTTCTGCCCTGTGGTGGTACAGAGACCCCCTATGCTTTGTGTAGCGCGAGTGAGGCTTAGGGGACTCCCCAGGGTGTGGTCCTGCAACATATACCCTGAAGAGACAAGCAAGCGAAGCCTTAAGGAGAAAAGTTGTAGGCACCCTTGAGTCACAACTTGGGGTGCCGAGGTGATTAGAGAGCTGTCAGTGTTGGTTGCAGGGTGGGTGCATACACAGTCACACCCACTCACACACATACATACCGCTCTCTCTCTCTCACACACACCCTCTCTCTCTCTTACACACACACATACACACACACACACACACACACACACCAGTGACAGATGACCTATTGAAATAATTTCAGAGCCGGTCTGTGGTTGCTACGACAACCAATGCTCTCTTGGCTTTCATCTGGCCATGTGACAGGGACTCTGACGTCAGCTGGAGGCAGTCTGTGGCTGAGTGCGCACAGTCAAAGGCTTGTGAGAATCTGGTGGGTGCCGGGCTCCGACGCTGCTGCTGCTGCTGCTGCTGCTGCACGCCGCGGCCGTTGCTTTCCCGTGGCTGCCGAGCATGGACTGCTAAGTCTCGCACTTCTTCTGCGTGAGGTAATGGGCTTGCTTTGGGTCCAACAGTTAGAGGGTCTGGAAGCTCCTGGCGGTGCATCTGCTGTCTCGTAGCTCTTACAAGTTTATCTCCGTGAGCAAGGATGGTTGCATCCGGAGGGAACTCGAAGCAGCTCCTGGGTTGCTAGTTTGGGGTAGCGTCTCTGGAATTTTGGCTAAATTTGGATTCTCAGTCTGTGATGTAGATCAAAATATAATCGCCTTGCTGGCTCAACACTTGCTAACACTGCACTGCCTAGACACAGGGATTGTGCAGGCTGAGCTCAGTATCCCCCGGTGAATTCCAGGAATCCTCTCTCCAGCGCTGTTTGGGGTTTAAAAACTCCAGCAGAGCCTAGCAATGGGTTCCTAACTTGGCTTTTCCAAACACTTGCTTCCCTGGTCAGGATCAGCTTAGAACAGCTTTGAAATTTTGTTTCTATCTTTGTTTGCAGCTCTCATAGTTAGTAACAACAGAAGCCACCCTGACGCAAATGAACGGGCTGCTCGGAAACAGAAGTTTAGGGGCTTCTCATAGGGCAGGCGAATGGCATTCTGAAACTACCCGGGGCAAACTGTCAACAACTTCCTGTTTAGAGAGAAATGATCCCGACTATGGCAAGGCAGCTGGGGTAAAGCGTCCTGTGCGTGTGAATGCAGATGCTGTGGGGTTGTGGGAGCAAACGGCACCTTTGCGATGCCTTTTGCTGGGAACTCGATTGTGAGGAGACTATCGTGGCAGGGTGGTCTTCGCTGAGAAGTTATGCAAGCTGTTTTTAAATTTTAGGAAATTGAAGTAATTGCACAGAGAAGAAAAAAGTAGCCATAAAATCGAAATGGAGATTCACTTTATCTGAAATACAGATAAGTAGGCATCAAAGATTGCTTCAAACCCTGGATGAATTATTTGAGAGCTGTGATTCATAAGGTCTCTTACCTGTTTAGCCTTATTGTGCTGTCTGGTGCAAATGGTTTCCGTGCGCAATTGGTATCGTTCCTTTTTTTCCCCAAGGCTAGGAATTTTGGATGTTTTGTCACTGCAGATAAGGTGCATCATTTCGTGGCTTGTAATTCACAGAAAACCTTTTGTGTTGAAGTTTACTGAGGCTGAGATTTCTAACGAGGCTTGTGAACCTTACCAGTTTAACTGAAAACAAGAGAAAAGTTTGAGGCAAGTAATATGGAATATGGTGTGGCTAGTATTTTGAAGAGTACAAAACATACTTTAATGGTGTGATGGTTTAATACATACCCGAAAACCATACTGCATGGAGCTGCTTCTGACTCACAGTGACACTGTATGGGGTTTCTGAGATTGGAATCCTTAACTCGGCATATGAACAATACACATTGTATAGAACGTGAATGATCTCCATTAAAAAAAAAAAGAATCCGATTTTCTTTTTCATGTTCTGTGGTAGTTTTAGCATTCTCATGGCCAGCACTGATTTTACTCGGGGCGGAAAGCAGGTTGGACAGCATTTGACTGCAGCAGTGAGTGAATACATGTGCGTCTATCAACAATTTCTCACTAGCTCTCAATGAATGAATATTCATTAAATGGGCTGGCATTTGATATGTGTTTTGAGCCAGGGCCTCTCTTGGAGGATTTCCCGAGAAGTCTCATGTACTTGCATTCAAGGTATGAGGTATATGCCATCATTTAATTGATCTCCTAGTTACAATCGGCCAGAGATCGGATTCTAGACACCCTGAGCCATATGCTCACTGACACGGGGCACAGATAGGAGCATTTATAGGAACTCTCCTTGATGGAATAATACACTTGATCATTCCTTAGTTGACTGTCACTAAGCCATTCTCATTATAGTTTTCCCATGTAGCAAAGATGTCTTGGGACGCACGCCACGATGCTTTAAAGTCATTTAAAGTCCATGTCCTTGTGGTATAGACTCTATTTGAGCCACCTGCACTCTGAGAATTATTCTGCGTTGAGGGCCAAATGTCACTGATGGCATTCAGCAATAGGCGAGACCCAGCCATTCTGTGCCAGGAGAGCCGCTCGAGAGGCTACAGGTCCTTCCTCACAGTGACGTGAGAAAAGAAAGGGCTCTGGGCAGATTCATCTACTCACGGCAATGAGATTGTGTTGGTTTCAAGGTCACGTTTGTTTCCACTTGAAAGAGCTTGCCAAGGAAGGGTGGACCGTGGAAACCTGGTGGTTGCACGATGAGAACTGCACGGTTTTCGGGTTCTTCACCTTGGTGGGTGCCGAGGAACCTGATGGACCCTGCAGACCCTTCGGAGCGTGATGCCTGTAACAGTGCCTGCCATGAAGCGGGATGACGCAGGAAGCCACTTGTGTGGAAATGTCGTGAAGCCCGAGGTCTTCAATACTGAGATACCAGTCGGTATTCTCGGGAAAGCGTGGTTCAACCAGCAGCAGATAGGATCACTGCCATATGTTGAAGGAGTGAGATTTCAAGAGAGGGAGCCTTAATGGTGCAAGGGCTACAGGCTCATCGACTCCCTGAAAGGCTGGTGGCAGATTGAACTCATCCGGTGACTCCGCAGGGGGGAAAAAAGACTGCGGGGGTTGCTCCCGTCAAAATTACAACCCAGAAAGTTATAGAAGGCAGCCCTGCTCTGTGACACAGGACGATGGTGAGTCAGAAGATCAATTCTCTGCCACCTCACAACAACACAACCACTATAATGGTGATGTGAAAATACCTGCTTTCTCTTGGCAACACATTCACAGTTTGTGGTCTGTGGCCTTCATTGTACCATCATGGAAGGCAATCCCAAATAAAGTTTGGATATTGAAGTTGTAACATTTTTCCCATCCAAGTGCCTAGATAGAGCTCTAGTCCTGAATTAAATGATACGAAAGCTAGCGATTCCTTGAGGTTGTATAACTGCATCGGACCCAAATCCAAAACACCATTTACGGGGTCAGCCACACCACCTCCAATGTCACTCTCTGGCCGTGTGGATTCCCCGGTATTGTCTGCATTCAGTGTGATGAGGGATGCCAAGTACGTCGAGCCACCAGATTGCAACGGCCCCTTCCTGTTCAGCTTGAAAGCCTGAAGCAGTCGTGTACGTTACTAGGACAGAGAGACTTTTACCTGGTTGGATAGGGGCTAAGAAAAAAAACACGAGCCCGTCCCAGTTATGCAAGTTAAAACCACGAGCGACAGAAACAAGGCTACAGCTGTTTACACAGGGCGCTTTCTCCACTGGGAGAAGATAAGAAACCAGTGCTTCTAGGAAGAATGCAGGGTGTTAAATGAGAACAGAGCTGCAGACCAACTGTCAAAGTATTTGAAACTAGCTCCAAGATCATGTAAAGTTCATGCCTATGTTGGCGTTGACACACGGACACGTTTGTTGCATTTTGGTGTCCGAGAAAACCAGGTGAGAACCCTAAAAGTTTATCTGCCAGCGGTTTCCAGGATGGAGCCTGTTTAAAATGAAATGGGGACTAGAGATTCTTCCCAAAGAACCAGGACGCAGCACCGTGGATGGCTTATTGGACGTTGAAGACCAAGGAAGGAAGCAGTCATGTATATTGTTTAGTGTGACTTCCAAAGGCAGTTGACTCATTGCCCACTGCACTTTGTGGAGAAGAGATCGCTCTGATTGTCCTTGTCAGCAAACTGGGGAACTTCTCAGTGGGTTGGCGGCTATTGGCTCTCACTGCCTTCCCAGCTCGGTGTTGAGAGTTAAAACGGCGCGTACAACGCCCAGAGTGTACAGACCCGGCCTGTCTACGACATCAGCACCCACCATCTCAGTGTCAAAGACCCGGAGCTACGACATGTGGGGCAAGCTGTTGTTTAAACTCTCTCCAAAGCCCTAACATTTGAGATGGAAGCTTAGCAATTTTTCTTCGTGGGAATTACAAAGAGGATTTTCTCAAACACTTCCCATTCTTTGGATCAGAAAAGAACACCTGTTCGGGGGGTGAAGGTGGGGGCTTTGAATCTCTGTGGCGACGTGATAAAGAAACTTGGGGAAAGCCGACACTCACTGACTCCAGGCTGTGCGATCCGCCTCTCTGGTGGTCTTTGAAAGGTGACGCCCAGAAGAACCAGGTCATTCTTTCTGATGGCTCAGCTCGTATGGAAAGGGCGCCTCTGATGGCGGTCCAACTCAACAAAGCCTTTCGAGCCGTGATGTTGTAGGAGTGTCTCCAGGAGCGATGCTATAAATGTTAGTGCTCATTTAGACTTTGACTGATATAAAAAAAATATGACAGTAAATATTTAAGTTTGCCGGAGCCACAGTCTTTAAACTAATGACAATCTGCTCTTTTATCTCTGAAGTAAGTAAACTTTAGGGGGTTGGGTGTGTGTGTGTGGGGGGGGTCATTTGGAGTCATTTCTATAAATGTCTTTCGTTAGAAACACAGCATCCCCGTAAAGCTTAGTCTGTGTTCACATAAAATATAATGTACCCAGATCACATTGAAGTCTTATGTCAGATTTGTAGGAAAGAATTCGCTGGTCTGAAAGACATTCCAGTATTTTCTGAATCCTGCACCAGTCACTGCAGGAAAACTGAGGGCTACATGATGGCTAAGCCCAAGGCCACTTGTTTTAAGGATGTTTCTGGATTTTTCCCGACTCTCATGAGCATAGGCCCTGGTAGAGGTTCATGTTGAGAGAAAGGTTGGTATTCATCGGCTGCCTGCTCAGCTGACTCCCACAGTATGGTTCATGGGATGGAAACCAGGATGGATTTTGTGACCACCAGTTGTGCAACATCCGTGGAGATAAAAATGTAAAATAGCATCCCACAGCAGTTCTCCTGTCGGTGGATGCTTTCCCAGGGCTTCCCATGACGGCAGAGAAGGTGTGGCATGACGTAGCATCAACAGTCCACGTGTATTGATTGGCCACTGAATCTGTTATATTAGACCAGTGGTTCTCAACCTTCCTCATGCCATGACCCTTTCATACAGTTCCTCATGTGGTGGTGACCCCCCCTCCCCCCTCCCCCCAACCATAAAATTGTTTTTGTTGCTACTTCATAAC